CCCCCCCCCCCCCCTTCAACCCTAAACCGGAGAAGCTGGGCGGGACAAAAGCACTCCTACGCAGAACCGAGGTGGTTTTGGCTCGAGGGCTCCCCCCGATCCCCCACAGCTACCAAATGTCTGACGCTTCAGGACCAAGAAACAGAAACCCGGTTAAGTACTAGTAAGATCTACAAAGACTCGTAAAACTGTACAAGCCCACAAAAGGGGCTTCTTTTACGTATGCAGTAACACCAGTCCCCCCTATAAACGCCACTGATCGAACTATTCACTGTTAGAATGCACAAAGCTGCTCATCTCTTCCATAAGGCAATGGAAGTGATCGTTATTGGGCAAGAAGTAGAACCCGATGGTTGCCTCTTTCAAGAACAGAAGCTTAACATCATGCCCGGCCTTCTTGAGCCCTTCGACATAAGCCAATTGCCAGTCCTGAACGAGGTCTAGACCGGCCACAACAACTAAGCTCTTGGGAAAGTTGAGTCCTTTAACACTAGGGCCTCGCGGGCCAAACGGGTTACAGGCAGGGTGATCCCTGTCTTCTCCTTCCGGCAGATAAGCCCTCCAGTACCAGTCTCGGTCCTGTGTTGTCACAAAGTACTTGCCATCCAGTCTTTTCTCGGACTCGGTCCTCTCTTGCCCACCAAACATCGGATGTAGAAGAACGTTACCCAACACTTCAACACCTTCCCCGGCTGCTCTCACAGCAACGTGATGGGCTATGTTGCCACCTGAGCTGTCTCCCGCCAAATAGACATAAACCTTGGAGTCTTTTCCGCTCTGAAGCCACTTTCTTGATTTGACCCAGTTGAGAGCGGCCCAGCCGTCGTCGTATGCGCACGGGAACCGGTGCTCCGGCGATCTCCGGTAGTTCACAGAGACCACAACGACGCCGCAGATTTTGACGAGGCGGCGGCAGAACGTGTCGTAGATAGCGCTGTTGGCGGAGGAGTGAGTGAAACTGCCGCCGTGGAAGAAAATCACGACGGGGACAATCTCGGTGGTGCTAAGGGGCTCTTGGAGCTCAACGGCGCTCCAACGAGACTGGTCCTGAGGCGCAAGTTGGTAGACCCTGTTGAGAAGGCCGGTGGCTCTGTCGACGTGGTCGAAGGAGAAAACGCCGTCCACGGGAATGGTGTTGGCAGGGACTTTCCGGTCGAGAAACTCAGCGAGGTCTCGGTTGAAGGTTCCGTCGGGTCGGCGGAGGATATTGTAAGCTAGCTTGAAGTTAGAAATGAGAACCCATGTGTTGAGTGGGACAATTCTCTACATGAAGAAGAAGAAGAGATGGATGCGACATGTTAGCATTGTCTTTGACGCTTACATGATCATCCGTACATAGATAGAACTTCAAGTCATCAGCGAGCATTTGCAGATTTCTCAGAACAACTTAACTAGCATTTTTCTCGTAATCTTTTTATTCAGAAAACAGAGAAAGAGGCGATAAATGGGGCATATCCCCTGGAAAGCATGACTCAATCCTTGTAAATAAGCAAAAGCACACAGAATCCACATGAACGAGGAAGGTAGAAGAAAAACCAAGCGGAATCGTCAAAGAAAAAGGAGCGAAAAGCCTTGTAATTTTAGGAACAGGACAAAAACAATCTCTGGGCTTACGCATTAGAACCCAGAAAGGACATACACTCGAGTAATCAAACAAATCCCCCAAATGAAATCGAACAAAAAAACACAGAGGGAAAAGAAAGATGGAGGAGAAAGATACAACGGAAAGTACCTTGCACTCGTTAAGGTTGACTTCGTTGCCACCCGCCATGCTCCACAACCAAGCCAGAAAAATCTCCAAACACAAGTAGTATTCAATTCAAGGGAGGAATGAGTTTCAGAGAGACGACCTCATTCAACAGCGCCCACCACCCAAAAACCCAGAAGACAACCGAGGGAAAAAAAGGAACAAATTTGCGAAACCCTAGGAGTTCTCTTTCCAACTGATCCAGTAAAATTCTTGCCAATGGACAAAGGATAAGACTTGGGCACCGAAGCAAAGAGACAGACAAGTACAGGGACACAGAGGAGAGAGAAACTGGAGACAGAGAGCTATACGGCTCGAGGAGAGAGAGGGCGGTGGCGAACGGACCAGGCGATGGGAGATAGACAGGCCAATGCGGAAGGCCGAATAATACTGGTCATCAGGTGGGCTCCATAATCCCTTTAAGTGAATTAATTAGTTCAATTTGGGTATTTTAATAAATTGATTAGTGGAATAATAATAAAGGGTCATATAATTTGGGGAGAATGGCCACGCTGTCATTTGTGTGACAGAGGAAAAAGACTATTGGCACGCCACTCCTGACATAAGTGATCCATTTGACCATCATTTTTTCTCTCTTTATCATATAATTCCCAAATTCACATTATATTTCTTTTATTTGTTTTGTGTTTTTTTATAATCGTTGATTGTTGATCATTCCTCTATAATTACTTACATGACAGTTACTAACAAATAAAAACTTCAAAAATTAAGAAAGTGATCAAACTTCTCATTTATCACTGCTTTTGGAGGTTCACATAAGAGATATACCACTTTTTTAGTTTGTAAAATGAGAAGAAAAACATTAATTCAATTTTTTCTGATATTTATGTAACATTGGTCGGCGCAATAGATGTTAGAAATCTGGGATATAAAAAGAAGAACAATAACAGAAAAGTAAATAGGAACCGGATAACTCTTCAAGGCGTGATACACTTTCCTAAAAACGTTATTCCGTCCTATACGAGCAAAGGACTTTCCGGAATACGTCTTTGAGATACAATGAAGAGAGAAGTGATCTTAGTTTGCTCTACTAAGAACACAAACACAGGAAATTGCAAGAAGAAGATGAACAAAAGGCTTTTGTGGGTGTTTTGCAAGAACAACCACAAAAGTGCTCTCAAATCTCTCAAAAAACGAATTAGATCTGTTATCAATTGTGTTAGGATGTCCAGGGGTGTTAATCAACACTCCAAATGTCGAAAGGTGTGAAGAAATCGGAAGTTTTTCCCGAACGGTCGCGATTTTCCGCTCAATCCGAACTGCTCAGAAAAAACGGGCTGCCCGCCCGTTTTGTCGAGCTACCCGCCCGTTTATTTCTGAATTGCTCAGAAAAAACAGGCTGCCCTCCCGGTTTTCCCGAGCTACCGCCCATTTATTTATGAGCTTTATTCCTCAGAAAAAATAGGCTGCCAGCTCATATTTTCGAGCTGCCCTCCCACTTTTTCTGAGATTACCTTTCACGTTCAAAACCGAACGTAAACTCTTTCGACGTATCCCTAACACTTAGCCAATTCATACCACGTCTTTTACAAGCATTTAACTCCTCCACCATACTTGTAATACACGTTAAACATGAATCCTTTTGAGAGATTCTAAATTCCCATTCATTTACTCTAAAAATACCAACAAACTAAACTAATCCCCACTTCTCTTACTTCAATTTCATTTTTATTTTTTCCCATACGATAAAAATTAACTATCTATATATAACATTTTAAAATGTGAGTTTTTATTTTCATAATACAGTACAATGTTCTCTACAGCTGTGTTTTATTAGTTAGAATCAAAACTAAATAGTAAATTAGTCTATATTGTTTTTACGGAAATGTAATTTTAGAACAAAAAATTTACATCTGTAGTTTTATATAAAAAATAAAATAAAAATTGTTGACCCAAAAAAAAAACAGTGAAATCCGGGTATTTTGACTGTATTAACCTGAAATAATCCATTTTACATCCCAAATTTTGATGTTAAATAGATCGGTTTATATATATAAATTTGAACTAATTCTCTTACTCATAACTAAAATATGAAGTGGGAATCTCAATTATAAGATCCATTAGTCGGAAGTAGAGTTCTAATTATTCGGATGTTTAAATAATTTAATTTGTATCATATAATTAAAAGGGAGTTTAATAACTTTGAACGCTTTGGTAAGCTAACCAATGGGAGTCGTGCGTTGGTACATACATCATTACGATTCATTCATTATTCGCTAGTGAGATTTTATTTTTTGTTTTATAATCGAATCTTTCGTTCAATATTGAAAAAATGTAGGTAAATTAATTATTTATGGATTTTCAATACCATATACAGATGATAGATTACAGTAAAGTAGTTATAACACTTTTTCAAAACAAATCAATTGAAAAAATAAATAAATTTAATATAAAAATAACTTATAAAATATTTTTTAAAAAATAAATATTTTTTTATTAATAAAACGATAAAACATTAAACACAAATAAAAATCGAACCAAACAATTTTTCCTTCTCTTCATCGAGACTTTTCCCAAAAAAAACTAGATAATCAATTCATCAACTATGGTAAAATTTTTGTTTACATCAGTCAAAAGTGAAAACTACTGTTAATTTTGTGTGTGGATTAGTTATAATCCATCATTACAAACTAATAGCATAAGCAGTTTATGTTGCATCATTCCTACACCTCAACTAAACTTGATTTTCTATAGAAGTAAAATGTCTGAAAAACATAGTTTGGCTATCTAACCATGGCCCTTGTTAGATTTGCATTCACAAATATTATTTACAATTTTATTTTATACCCAAATATAAAGTGTTGCTACTATTATATTTTATTTTATTATTTACGTATTATATATGAATACATTTTTACCACAATTTCGTCTGATGATTAGAAAATCAATTTCTATACTTATTAACAAGTTTGAGACGTTTTGTGCCACTGTCGGTGCATAATTAGTGACCACCATACTTAATATATACATACATATATATATATATATGTGTATATTTAAATGGTGTACTTTAATTAATTAAAAATACTGTAATACACCAACGCATTACAGTAATAACCACTCAGATCATCATTCAACATTAACAAACAGCTCACTGCTCTTTTTCTTCTTCTTCTCCATCGTCTTCCTCCGGTCACTGCTCTACCATTTCCACTTCCTTGGTTCATCTTCCATTTTCCTTTTTCTGGATATTTTTTCCTTAATCATAAGATGCACGCGAAGACAGACTCGGAGGTGACAAGCCTCCCGGCGTCATCGCCGACGAGATCTCCCCGGAGACAAGAGTACTACGTGCAATCGCCGTCGCGTGACTCTCGCGACGGAGAGAAGATGGCGTCGTCGTTTCACTCGACGCCGGTGATAAGTCCGATGGGATCTCCGCCGCATTCTCAGTCCTCCATGGGTCACCACTCGCGGGAATCTTCCTCGAGCAGATTTTCGGGATCTCTGAAGCCTGGGTCGCGGAAGATCTCTCCGAACGACGCCGGAAAACGGAAGGGACACGGCGGCGGTGGCGGAGATAAGCAGTGGAAGGACTGTGCTGTAATCGAAGAAGAGGGTTTGCTTGATGACGAAGATCGAGACAAGGGTTTGCCTCGTCGGTGCTATATCTTGGCCTTTCTGGTTGGATTCTTCGCTCTGTTTACGTTCTTCTCTCTGATTCTCTATGGAGCCGCTAAACCTCAGAAGCCCAAGATCTCCGTGAAGGTTAGTTCATCCTTCTTTCTGGTTTTTTTTTGCTTTTCTGTGTTCTGTTGAAGTCAATGGAGATCTAGATTGTGCTTGATTTTGCTTTTTTTTTTGTAGTTTAATTCTCTTAAATTCATCGTTTCCAGTGAAGATCCAGCTCGAGATCTGGATTGGGCTTGATTTTGCTTTTGTTCATTTTAATTCTGCTGAAATCTTCCATTTATGATGCAGATTTAGCTCACTTTTTGCGTTTTTGATGGTTTAATTTTCTTTCTCGTTTGAAGGGTAAATCTAGAGCTGAGTTGTTCTTGTTCTCTTCTTCTATTTTCTCTTTTCTCAGTAGATCGAGAACAGAATTTCTCGAAACTTTAAAGCAGATCCAGAGCAATTATTTTCGGATTTGGGGTTGTCGGGCAATTGTAAAAGTTCCAGAACCAAAGAGAAAGACTTTGGGTGATCGAGGAGTAGAATGCATCTTCATTGGTTATGCTTTACATAGCAAAGCTTATAGGTTCTA